TTGCTGAGTCGTGTCCCACTCTTGCGAATCCTGGAACTGTAGTCTTCCAGGCTCCTCTGTCCATGGGATGTCCCAGGCAAGAATACTGGAGTGGGTGGCCGTTTCCTTCTCCAGGGCACCTTCCCGACCCAGGGATCGAACCCGGGTCTCCGGCATTGCAGGCGGATTCTTTACCGACTGAGCTGCCAGAGACGCACACCACCGCCTGTACTCACACGTATCCCAGGTGCCGCTGCTTCCTGCCACAGGGCTTCTCCAACGGCTGCCTGCAGAAACCCGCCCTCATGTGGAGCCTGGAAGTGCAGGAGGAAACACCTCTGGGGGAATTCTCAACCAATGGGAGACAAGAACCCGTGGACAAAGGCACCTACCTCTTGTTCTGTGCTGGAAAATTCTGGAGGGAGGGCGGCGGGGCCTTCACACATACTCTTTTGTGAATCCTAGGGGCGTGAGCTCCTGTTGCCCACAGCAGCCATCTTAGCGAGCCTTTGTGCTGACTTTTCAGTCGTGGCCTCGCTTCCCTGTTTTTTCTTCTGTTTGCTGATATCACTTCCCAAATGAAAAAGTCTCTCATTCGTAAACTGCTACATCTAACCCCCTGCCCCTGAATATGCTTCTTTTCTTACCTAACATTCTTCCATTTTAGGTCCTCCTTATAACTTGACCTCACTGTGATGGCTGTGAGTTGAAGACCGGTCTATTTTCAGGGGACCCAAACTGAGGACTCCACTTCTCAGAAACATCGTCCCAACATGGTAATGAATGCCTGTGTGTTAAGTTGTGTAAACTCACACTCATCCTTCAAGTCAGCGCACTGCACTTGAGTCTAGGGTGTCTGGGTATATCTTGGGAGGCCTCTGGACAAAACTACCCTTTCCCTGAAGGAAAATCCTTAGATAAAGATTTGTTAACCCCCATGGGGCTGTAGTCTCCTTATAAGAAAATAAGTTTGTTTTTTTTTGTCAGTTTTAACCATTATGAAAATCACAGCAGAGGCATGTGGTGTGTCTAAAAGGCCAGATAATAAAGGCAAGAACCGTGGAAACAAGGCCCATGAGATAGGACTGAGGCCTCCCCAGGGAACTGGCCTCGGGGCCCCACCGGATTTCAGACCGACGACGGCCCGAGGGGTGCTGTGTGCTCCTTGCTCACCCCGTAGGGAACGGACCTGTCCACAGTGAAAATTTGTCACTTGTTTCACTGTTGCCTGTGAGTGTGTCGGGAAAGGATATTTGTCACGATGGTTTACAAGGACTCTCATCAAGAAGAACGGCACTCAAAGAGCTGTACTCGCAAAACTGCGCCTGAGAAGCCTCGTCTGCATCTACCCTTGCCGACCCGACCCTGGACCTCAAGGCTGAGCCTGACGCCGGGATGGGAGGAGACGCGAACGTACGTTTTTTGCCGCCAGAGGGTTGACTGTCAGATTATATCTTCCAAAGGTGCCTGTGAGAATATCTTTGAAACTTGCCATTTCTGCATCAAGAAGTGAAGTCTCGGGGCTTCCCTGGTGGCTCAGTGGTAAAGAATCTGCCTGCCAACGTAGGAGACACAAGTTCGATCCCTGGTCCGGGAAGATCCCACAAGCCGTGGACCAACTAAGCCTGTGTGCCACGACAGTTGAGCCTGTGCTCTATGGCCCGGGAACCCCAACTACTGAAGCCCTCAGGACTGGGGCCCGTGCTCCACGAGAGAAGCCACTGCAATGAGAAATCTGTGGACCGCAACTAGAGGGTAGGCCCCCGCTTGTCACAACCAGGGAAAATCCTGAGTAGCAAGGAAGACCCAGCACAGTCAAAAATAAATAAATGCATAAGAAAACTGGGAGAAAAAAAAAAAAAGGTCCGTGTCAAAAAGATCTTTAGGAGAAAAAAAGAAAGTGAAGTCTAGATCTTGTCCCTTGAATCCAGACAGACTTGCATCTTACTTATAACCAACAAAATGTGGCAATAAAAGATGCTATGTGACTTTGATGCTAGGTCATGACAGGGGATTTAAACTGCTCAATGAGTGTGGGGTTTTATTTGGGGGGAATTAAAATATTGTGAACTTAGATGAAGGTGGTATTTGCCCAACATTGTGACTGTAGAGAAATTTCCCTTCACCTGAAAACAATCATTCTTTTTTAAAGGTGCTTTAATTTCTACCATATAAGCTAGAACCCTCATACCTAGCATTCCAAGGCCCTGGTTGAGAACGATGACTGCCCTGAGCCTCCCATGCTGTGAGGACGCCCAGACCACTTGCAGAGGCCCCATGCAACTTGACTCTTTGTGGGCCCAGCTCAGCAACACAGTGCCGGAGAAGGTGCTTCCACATGGTTCTAGCACGTGGCCATCCAATAACCATGAGCCACGGGAGTTCTCTCAGCTGAGACGGGATATTGGAGAGCAGAAAAGAACTGTTCCTCTGTGCCCTTCCTAAAGTACAGACTCACAGGATCTGTGAGCAAACTAAAATAATTGATTGAAACCACTAAGCTTCAGGGCAATTTGTTAAGCAGCAGTAGTAACAGGATCAATAATCATTAATCCACAGAGAACACTCATTTAAATTTCCACTGGAGAGATGTTAACATTGCACAGAAAGAAAGGCACACCTGTTCTATCTGGAAGCTAAATTTTATATCCCTAAGTATCTTTCAACTATTTTGCCACCCCCACACCCCCCTGCCATGTCATCGAGGTATGCAAGGAAAAGCAAATGGGTTTCTGGTTGTGTGGATATGTTAGGTCGTGTCTGACTCTTTGCGATCCCATGGACTATAGCTCCTCTGTCCATGGGATTCTCAAGGCAAAAATACTGGAGTGGTTTGCCATTTTGTCCTCCAGGGGATCTTCCTGACCCAGGGATTGAACCTGCGTCTCTTGCGTCTCCTGCATTGGCAGGCAGGTTCTTTACCACTGAGCCACCTGGGAAGCCTGGGTCTCAGGATACTCATACAATATGACTTTGACTCATTTGTACAAAACTGCATCTTTTTTCTTGAGCCACAGGTTGATCTGGGTAATGTAACTTGCCACCATCTCGTCCCTTGGCATGGTCTTTTCAGAATGTGAGAAAACCCTTTCCGCCCAAGAGTACCAGGCATGACTGGCCCTGCTACAAGATAGAGCAGCAGAGTTGAACAAGGCCCATCGGGAGGGAGGGGAGGTGGTGCTCTAGGTCTGACACGTGTTTATCCAGGCAGCGTCCCCGCCTTACCCCAAGGAATGGGAGCCGCAGGTTCATCAAGTGATTCACCCGGTGTCCACAGGACTGAACTCAGAACTACATACTTGGAAGCACATAGTCTTTCTCTTACCACAAAGAGTAAAGGGAAGTAAAAGAATAGAACTGGGAGACAAGAAAGAGGATTCAACAAAGACTCTACTGCAAAAAAAAAAAAAAGCCCCATTAATAACCTAATTTTCAAAAAAAAAAACCTTTGAGACTGACATTATCTTGGTCAGTAACATTTTAATTTATTTTCAACATCGAGATTTTACAGATAATACATATTTTTAGACTTTTAGTACTAGACAAAAATACCTAGTTCCAAACTTTGAAAATTCCAAATATCAGTGTTTGAAAAAAGGTATTAAGGGAAAAAAAAAGTACATGAAGAAAGCTTACTTGAAGAAAATAGAAAATATTAATTTTAAGAAATTAATTAAAGAAAAAAGGTACATGAAGAACTGTGGTTGCAAAAAAGAGCCATAGAAGAAATTATTGGCTGTGTCAGTCTCTTGGTACTTATGTTAACAAGTATTGGTTTATGCTTTGTCTTGAGAACTATTAGGTTATTTGGAAGCAATATCATTTCTCATTTTTCTTGGTTGAATTATAATCCCATTATACATGTGGCATTTCTGCTCAAATTTGACATTGGATATACGCTGGAAGAATTTAATAAAAATTATTTCCTCTATGTTCTAGTTACTGAATGATGGTTAAACACGTTCTATGAATTCAACATTCAACCAACATGCGAAGTTTTCTAGCATATATCACTTTTTCCTCAAGAAAACCATAGGCCATCATTAAATGTTTTAAATCTCTGCTATTATAAATTTGGGAAAAGCTCAGTTCAGTTCAGCCACTCAGTCCTGTCAGACTCTTTGTGACCCCATAGACTGTAGCACTCCTGGCTTCCCTGTCCATCAGCAACTCAAACTCATATCCACATGAGTAGGCTCATATGAGCCTACTCAAACTCATATCCATCACACTGATAATGCCATCCAACCATCCCATCCTCTGTCGGCTCCTCCTCCTGCCTTCAATCTTTCCCAGCATCAGGTTCTTTTCCAATGAGTCTGTTCTTTGCATCAGGCAGCCAAAGTATTGGAGTTTCAACTTCAGCATCAGTCCTTCCAATGAATATTCAGGACTGATTTCCTTTAGGATGGACTGGTTGGATCTCCTTGCAGTCCAAGGAACTCTCAAGAGTCTTCTCCAACACCACAGTTCAAAAGCATCAATTCTTTGGTGCTCAACTTTCTTTATAGTCCGACTCTCAAAAATTTTTTTTAAATGTTATCTAATGATGCATGCTGACATTTTTAAAGGGTGAAATGATCTGACATCTATGATATTCTTCAATAAAATGTGGGAGTGTTGAGAAAATATGATAGATAGGCCTCTAGTTCCTAGTTGATAAACTGAGTGATAAGTAAATGGAGATTTATTATTTCATTCTCTCTACTTTTATAAACAGGCTTCCCTGGAGGCTTAGTGATAAAGAATCCATCTGTAAGGCAGGAGAAACGGATTTGATCCCTGGGCCAGGAAGATCCCCTGGAGAAGGAAATGGCAACCTACTCCAGTATTCTTGTCTCAGAAATCCCATGGCAGAGGATCCTGACAGGCTACAATCCATGGAGTTGCAAAAGAGTCAGACAAGACTTAGCGACAAAGCAAAAACAATAACAAAAACAACTTTTATTGACATTTAAATTTTTTGTGATTAAAAATTCACAGCACTAGCAGTAATCATGAGACCATTTTTACTGCTTCCTCTAAATGGTAAAAAATTTATCACCATGTTTGGGGACAAGCTTTTTCTCCAAGGAAATATTAAATATGTTTTTTAGATTTTCTTCTATTTCTTTCTCATTCAGTGTCTTAAACTCTACCAAATCTGTATTGTCCTTATAATTGAATCTCCTGTAGGTGAGGGTAAAACCCACTAAGCAGTGAACACCTTCTGGGGTCTGCAAGGAGCAAAATGACTTGCTTGTAAACACAGATGCTGGAGATTCTTGAAGGTATGTGTTCACAGACTCGAAGTCTTTAATTGTTCGAGGTTCAAGAGTAAACGAGTAGATTTTCCGATGCTCATTCTTTTCCAAGAGGTCGGAATCCTGAAATTCTTGGTTTGGGATGTATTGCTCTCTTCTGATTTGGTCCAGGTACCAAGTTCCTCTGTCTTCGGTCAAGCGGAAGATGCAAGGTGTCTGGGGCTGGTACTTCCCGGAGATTAACTCCAGTGGCTGCCACATCTGATAAGAACGTCCAAATCCAGCATCGGCTATGTAGTCCCGGCCGTCGATGGTCACCTTGAGCAGGAGGTGAATCATGGCATTGCTGTATTTGTCAGTGAACGTGTTGAAAACATACCCTCCCAATATGGTGGTCTCAAAACCCATCGTGGTCAGAGCCCAGTACAGGAGGTGGTTGACTTGGAGACACCACCCACCCCGGTTCCTCCTCACAATTTGATCAAAAATGGCCTCTAAGTCCAATTCCATGGCGCCCCCACAGTGGATGTTAAGGTTCTCAAAGGGAATGGCTCGGATCTGGTGCTGAAGAATGTCGGTTAATGTTTCCAAGTCCAATTTGTCCCTCGAGTGCTTATAACCAATTCTTTCAAAATATGCTTCGATGTTCATGATTCCTTAAGGCAAGGAAAACAAAAGCAAATATCTTACTTTTGTACTTGGATTTCTTTGATTAGCTTGATTACAGCAAATGTATTTTAAATATGTAAATACAATGGTTACCAATATCTATAATTATAAGCCTTTTGTGTGTGCTTTTGCTGTTTTAATGCCTTTTGCATGAATGGTGCTCACGAATGGTGAAGAAAAGTATTACTTCTTCCACGTTTTGAGTATGAGAAGTTGGAAATCCAGATGAAGTGATGAGTAAAATGATAGAGAGCTTACATGTGGTTTTCTTGATGATGAGTAAGGAGAGGTACAAATTGGCATCAATTAAAATAGAGTTTACAAACAAATTTCTAATGTAAACAGGAGAATGATATAATAAGGTACTTGACCTACTCAGTTTCCTCTTTAGCTGAACTTTACAGAAATTTTCCTACTCAACGAGTCAGTTTGTTCACAAACTGATTTATTCACTTGTTCAATAAATAGCTTGCTGAAATTTTATTATGTATACATTACTAACCTAGTGGTTGCTTGTCTTAAAAAAATCTTACATTTTATGGGGGCTGGTATGACACAGATAATGAAATGAATGAATTAAAAAACACATGCAATTTCTTTGATTGTGATCAGTGCTCTGAAGAAAATAAAGTGAAGAAGGAAGATAAGACACGCAGAGAGAGCTTCAGTTTCCAATAAGGTGGGCGGAAAAAGCTTCACTATAATTTTAAGGATGGGAGAGAAGGAGCCACGTCCATATGTGTGGGAGGATCACTCAGGAAGGACCAGAGAATTTTTAAGAAGTCTTAAGCCAGAACCTGCCTAGAGCGTCCAAAGAACATTCAAGGAAGCTAGGAGGAGGGGAGCAGAAGGACAGAGAGGAAGCGTGGACCACGATGAGGCCTGGCCTTCAGGTTCTTCCTTTGAGATGAGGAGTCGGTGTGAGAAGGGCAAGGGGAAGCCTGCAGTTTGGGCAAAGGGCACCATTGTCCGGTTGATGTGTATGGACAGGGACCCGCACACATGGAGCTGAAAGAAGAGACACGTGGCCCAGCCAGGAGCACCTCAAAGCACCTTTGCTCCAGGACCAGCACTTTGCTCACAGATGGCGTGTGGCCTGAGTCAGCACTCCGAGACTCTGCTGCGGGGCTTCCACTGAAACCTAAGCAGGTGCTTTTCTTGTGGGGCCAGAAGCTGGTAGGATATTTGCCCAAAGCTAGTAGGAGGTCTTCCTGGAGAATGGCACCTACTAAGAATTTAATGAGTTGAGGAAAGAAAAGCAGGAGAAGGAAAGATGAGAAAAGACATCAGTCAAGTCTTAAGCTGTATCTTGCTTTATTACGGTGAGTCAAAAAAAAAAAGTCCTCATTTTCTAAAATCCCATGTCAAAAAGTTTTCTGTCCACTAATCACTGATTGTAACAGTGGTGTATTACCTTTGGTAAGATGACATGGCCTGAGGTGAGAGGCTTAAAAGGGCCTGCCCTAGGTTAATGGTGATAAGCTATGTATTTCTGTTGTCCTTCTTAACGTCTTTTCTTTCAGATTCGCCTAGTTCTCTTTTTTAATCTGTTATTTTTCCCATTTTGCTAGTGTTTCAACTTTATTCTTGGTATCGGTAAACTGATCTCCTAATCTGTTAAGCTTATTTCATTTCTTCTCAGCTTTACATCCATCAGTATCCTTTCTCAACATCTGTAGAAGCCAAAAACTCTACATCAGACACGAAGAGAACTGGTACTGAACCAGACTGCCACAGACCCTCTTCCACTTCTATATCCAATCAGTACTGGGCAAGTTAGGAGGGCAGGTGATGTAGAACCAAAGAAACAGGATTTGGACCTGCCTAACCGTTTCATTTCTGGGTGGGTTAATTCCCTTTTATTTGGAAATCAATGTATACTTTTTAAAGTTATATTTTGATTTTAAAGTTTTTTTCCTTTGTTCCTTCTATTTTTTAAGATATGATGCTAACTTAGAATTTAGTAACCTCAAGTCCATTGAGAAGAACCCAGTATTGGAACCTGAATGTAAGCAGCATGTTATAACCAAATTATACCTGTATATTCCACAACTAAAAATAAGGATGGTGTACTACTGAAGTTATGATAGAAGGTGAAATATGGAGACACTAGAAAGTAGCTGTCAGTATAAAACTGGGTGAGAACACTGCAATGTTTATACACTGACTTGTAACTTAGATGTGCGCTGATATATTGATTCATTTCACTTGATCATAAATACAAGAAAAGAATAAAAGGAAGCAGAGAGAACACACTTAGGGAGTCAGCTGAGATGTCTCAGAAAAGCAAACCTTTCTATGGAAGTTCGATGTAGATGGATTCTCAGTTTTAATTCAAAAGACTTGGAATGTTTCTTCTTCCTGGTTCACAGTCTAGAAATAATAGAAAAATAGTTTTAAATATATAATATTCTTCCTTGAAAACAAGAGCAGTAGTTCCGTTGGGACATGAATAGGAAGAATGTTTTAAAATCACAAAACAGAAGGAAAGAGAGTCAAATGGCCATCTGCATTGCACAGGGTCAGAGCTGGGCGTACAGTCACAGGCAATGGGAACAGCATGGGTCGCTCTGAGCCCACTTCCTGGGGTTTAAGTCACAGGAGGACCCGCGCTCAATGGGCCAGGCAATCAACAAGGATGGGTGAACCCTGTCCCAGGCCCCCGATCGATACTACAAGTTTTACCAAACACATCAAAGACCAGTGTGTAAGGTAGCACCTTCCCTTAGCTATAAAGTGTAATTGCAGATAGCTTCCAGCGGTGCGGTGGTGAAGATTCTGCCTGCCAGCGCAGGGCACTCAGAAGACCCAGGCTCGATGCCTGGATCAGGAAGATCCCCTGGAGGAGGAAATGGCAACCCACTCCAGTATTCTTGCCTGGAGAATCCCGTGGACGGAGGAGCCTGGTGGGCTGCTGTCTGCTCAGTTCAGCCACTCGGGGGTGTCCGACTCTTTGCGACCCCACGGGCTGCAGCAGCCAGGCCTCCCTGTCCATCACCAAGCCCCGGAGTTTACTCTCCCCATAGCCTGTGGAGATGTAAGTCAAAATGAAAAACTAAGGAAGACTAGGGCAGAACTGACTCCTTTTATTACAGGACGGAGTAGACAACTTGGAGGCATTGTGGCTGAAGTACTTTAAAAACATGTTTTAAAGGTGACTGAAGTGAAAGGCGTTAGACCCGTTGGCCTCCGCCTCGGGTGCGGAGGGTAAAGAGCAGCCTGCTCGGAGCGCCCTGCCCGGGCTCGGGGCACCGCGGAGGACTCGGGACCGAGGCTGGCGTGGGGGGACGCGGTGTGTCGGCCACCCGGGTCCCCTGGGGTCCCCCTGACCGGCCTGGCTTCAGGACCTGCGCGCGGACTGCGGCAGACCTCCTGGGGGCTCCTGGAGCGGCTTGGCCTGCCCGTGTGAGAGTCAGCCGTGTCGGGGGCTCAGTGTCCCGTCAGGGCCGCCCCGCCTGGGGACTTACCGGCCCGCTGTTCTGAACACCCCGCCGCCTTGCCTTGAATCGAGAAAAGACTCTGGAGTTGTGGGTCCCACCTGGGCCGGCACTGGGGCTTGCCCAGGCGCCCTTCCCTCGTGAGGCGCTTGCTCACGGGCCGGACTCAGTGTCCGAACCTGGTGAACCAGACAATCACGTCAGCGGTCACCGGGGAGAGCGCTGTGGGAGAAAGCTAGGGTGAACAGGATGAGGCGACTTCCAGAGGGCCCTGAAAGTCAGGCCAGAGAGACTTCTGTCACCGAACGAATGCCTGTTGTTTCGCCGAATGGACCAAGCCCAACAGTCACCTGGCTGCCGTGATGCCTCCCTCAGTGACGCGCTTCTTCAGTTACCCATCGCCTCTCTGATGTAGCCCCGAGAGTGGGTTGAGATGAAGACCTCCTAGTTCAGCTCCCAGTCTGGGGGTGTCTACATCTTCCATGTCCAGCGGTGGTTTCAAATTTTTAAATTTTATTTTGCTTTATCTTGCATGTTATTTTTGAGCTACAGAAGTCCTGATCCTTTCCGCAAACAAAATTGTAAGCCAAAGTCTAAAATAGAATAATTGAAAACAGGCTGCTCCAGAGGCGGTCCGGCCCTGGGATGCTGCTCTCGCGGCTCAGAGGTGCAAGCAGCCGGGGTGGTCATGGACCGAGATGGCGTCTTCCATCCCAGCTGCCCACACTTCAGGCACGACCGCCTGGAAGAGGCTGAGACGGAGCGAGTGGATTTTCTTTCTGTGTGAGTTTCACATCCTGTCTGTTTCCTTTTCTCTGTCTCAGTGATGGCATCCCATTAGATTGACACTAAGACTCCCGACCCCAGGGCAGAGGGGCGTCGGCTTGACTCCGGGATGGAAGGGAGCTGCGAGGCCAGCCCTGCTCAGAGGCCGTCGGACACGCCGCCTTAACGCACCGAAGATCCGCGGCTCCACCAGGCTCCGAGCTGGAGCTGCAGAGTCAGGCAGGTGGGGACCGCCGAGCAGGCGCCCAGAGCCGGTCTGGATGGCAGAAGCCGAACAGAGCCAGACTCCGGGACAGAAGTACGAGGGAGTTGATAGTTTAAAAAAACAACCCTCCTTTTGAGGGAAGGAATGGAGGAGGAACTAAAGTGAGGTCCTGGGGGCAGGGAGTGACGCAACGAAGTCACACTCTGGGCCACAAGCAGGGTCAGTGTCTCTCGCCAGCCTTTCTGCCGTGACTGAAAGTGTGAGTCGCTCAGTCATGTCCGACTCTTTGGACACCATGGACTGTAGCCCGCCAGGCTCCTCTGTCCATGAGATTCTCCAGGCAAGAATACTGGAGTGGGTTGCCATGCCCTCCTCCAGGGGAGCTTCTGGACCCAGGGATCGAATCCCTGTCTCCTGCATTGCAGGCAGATTCTTTACCATCTGAGCCACAGGGGAAGCCCACCATGACTCAACAGATTATTAAAAATTGGTGTGACCATCCCACGACTTGACTAAACCATTCAAAGTGAACAGTTCAGTCCTTTGGCACCTTT